TCAATAAACTACAGACGAACTCAAAATTGATCGCTGCATTTAAATAATGAATTAATGCTTAAGCTTACCTTTTAAAAGTTCAACGATAATTCTTCTGCTGTCACTTAATTTAAAGACGATTTGGTGTACGTAGATCCTTATTTTCCGTACAAACACTTATTTTTATTTCGTAGGTGACAGAACAGGGGACAATTTATAAGAAAAAATTAATATAGTGTAAAGATGGGAAAATAGAAATTAAAATTACTTATACATTCAACATTTGAAGAGTTAGAGAAACAATAATTAAGTAAAACCTATATTATGGAATATAATTAACTATTATCTTTCTCTAACATTCGGACCAGTAGGAGTGGCGGAGTTGCTTGGACACACACGCGCACAAACACACAATCACTGTACTTTATATATAAGATATATGAAAATAAAGAATAAACAATTCAGCAACGATTGGAGAACAGGTCGTATCAAATTAATGATATAAAACAGAGATGCAAGTGACCAATAATTATCTGTGAAAATCTGCAAAACTGTTGTCTCAACATGGTATATGTGATATAAGATAAATCTATAACGGTGTCAAAATTTTTAATGTGGCATATTTTGTCCTTTAGGATTTCATTGGATGAAACTGATGAAACTACGCATGCGCACAGAGCAGAGGGAACTCTGGGAAATTTAAAATTAAATTTAAAAAGAAGATATATTATTTTCTATTATTACAACGTGGGACATTTTATAACAAAAATCATATGACTATAAAGCAAAAGAAGTTAAACGAAATTGTATATATATATATATATATATATATATATATATATATATATATATTCATGAATTATTCATACAAAAACAAATACAAGGTTAATGATTTAATTGGCGAGAAATCCATCATCGCGAACAATTCAAATAATATACAAAAACCCCGAACCTGTTATGAATGAAAAGATCCTTGTTTTTATAAATTTCTGTTGCATTAGTTCTTATTTTTACTACAAGCTTTCGTCTGTTCCTACAGACATCTTCAGGTATATAATAGATGTTGTTCTTGATTTTTCTCTCAGTAATAAGAGGACAACGAAAATATATGTATTGTTGTATCCGAAAAATGCTATTAGAAATGAGTTATTGTTTTTGGAGCGTGCAGTAGCAACGCTGAGTTTGATTTTAAATTTTACAATTGTGCGTTCTTGTACAAATATGGTGATAAGCGAATTCTTTTTTACTGGTAAATTTTCTGTCAAAGTGGCATGAACTATATTGTTCAATAATTACAGTAATGTCGCACTTATTATCCAAAAGTTGCACTTGGATCAGTTATTTTAGTTTCAATAAAGGTGCAATTAATTTACAAATTCATGAATTATTCATACAAAAACAAATACAAAGGTTAATGATTTAATTGGCGAGAAATCCATCGTCGCAAACAATTCAAATAATATACAAAAACCCCGAACCTGTTATGAATGAAAAGATCCTTGTTTTTATAAATTTCTGTTGCATTAGTTATATATATGTACAAACACACATCTATAATTTCTTTTTTTTTGTAAATTTAAGTTTAAATTTCTCAGGTGGTAATGATGGTGTAAGGTCGATACTCAGGCAGGATGAGGTGGCACTTCCAGTCCATTCAGTATGTGCTTAATCAAATTGACAATGTGTGCTGGTACATGGTCATCGGGGTGCACGTGTTTTATTGATCAATGCTGGGTTATTGCTTTTCAAAGTATAATATATTTGTAGTTGTTGAGCATAAAGCTCAGCACTCACTGCATGACCATCTGGGTAAAGCCCAGGACAATACCTCCTTGAAATTCCAGCAAAGACATAACATGACCTTCTGTTTTAAGCCACTGATTTCTGTTATTGGGAATATGAAAATAGACCCATTTTTTCATACCAGTTACAATTAGATGTCAAATACGGGCATTTTGAAGATTTTTCCGTATTTCGAGCTTAAATTAATGGTTCAAACAAATTACACGCAAAAAACGTTTATTTTCTCAAAATATGTTCCCATCATTGTACCAGAAGCTCAGTTCCACGCTTATACCATTTGGCTGGTTTAGATGCAAAAAAGAAACCTCCCTACACTCGTTTTCAACCTCATCCATATTGTTGAACTTCCATTCGCACAGGAAAAGAGCCACAGCTCAGAAAAAGTCGTAATTTGATGGTGTAAGATTGATAGTGGAGGCAGGTTGAGGTAGCACTTCCCGCCCTTTCAGTTTGTGCTTAATCAATTTGACAATGTGTGCTGGGACATGGTCATCGGAGTTCACATCTTTGATAGACCAATACCGGGTTATGGCCTTTCAAAGTATAATGTATTTGTAGTTGTTGAGCATAAAGATCAGTATTGACTGCATGACCATCTGAGAAAAACGCAGTGCAAATACCCCCTTGGAATTACACCAAAGACATAACATGACCTTCTGTTTAAAGCCACTGATTTCTCATATTAGGATTATGAAAATAGATCCATTTTTCATACCACTTACAATTCGATGTCAAACACAGGCATTTTGAAGATTTGCCAGCAGTTGCTTGCAAATGTTCACATGTCATTGAGCCTAGTCATTGGTTAGTTCACGAGGAACCTCTTGACAGTGTCTGTTCACAAAGCCGATCTTATGGACATGTCGATTGATAGTGCTTTGTGAAAGACCAAGTTCTGCTGACAATATATTAGTGCTTGTACATGGCTGTTGTTCAACCATTTCGAGCAAAGCCTCATATTCCACAACAGGAGGTCTCCCTTGGTTTATCTTCTAATCTGGTCTCACCTTCCTTGAAATATCTGAACCCGTTTTGTGTCAAATGTTTCTTGACAGTTCCTGGTTTTTCCACGTCATTAATTTCTTTTGCCACTGTCCTTTTTCCATAGGTAGTATGGTTCTAATTACAAATTTTTTACCACTCATTCTCAGTTGTAAAATAAAATTATAAACAATATTTATATATAAAATTAAAGAATAAACAATTCAGCAACGATTGGACAAAAGGTTCTATCATATTAATGATATAAAACAGAGATGCAAATTGCTAAAAGTAATCCGCAAAAATCCGTAAATACTTCTGACTCAACCTGGTATTAGCTTGGCTTAAAACATTGTTTGTTGTTTTTATCATTAAATGAGATTAGGAGCTGCTTTTTTTTTCATCTTAACCGTTTATTTTTGCTTTACGGTCAAATCACGCTGGAGACACCGATTTCTGTTCGATAACTGAAGTTAAGCAACATCGAGCGTGGTCAATACTTGGGAACACCAGATACTGTGTTAGAGGAAATAACCCAAGAAAATTAGATTGCAATATAAATGATAGTGGTGCGTACAAGACAAAGAGCTGTTTTGTATCATGCTTTACACCAGCTTGGCAGTGGAACGTCACGGTTAACGACAAGGAGATACCATCTCTAAAAAAATGACAAACTGCATCCTTTAGCAGGAATTGTAGTCGCTATTTTTACCAAGTTTCTTGGAATGCAATCGAAAAAAAAACAAAACATTATGGTAACTTAATCTAAACTTTCTTCATGATGTTCGTTTGAGGAGAAGGGATTTTAATCAAATTCATTAAAAAATATCATTTTTTAATTTTACATCAGCGATATTTATTGCAACTTATGTCATACCAATCTCGTTTATTGTAACACATGACCTGCCAGGGTTCATTTTTATCGGTTTGACTAAACATGTTTATCCGGATTTTCTTTTCCGTCTTGTGGCATCAGGATCATTTAGTTCCAACTAAGTCTTTAAAACCTGATGAGCTGCCCTCTTTGATGTCGTGGCTTTATGGTTTTAAGCGCCATACCCTCCTACGAGGTCCTTTGACCAGGGGTAGAGTTTTATCAATTGTTTCCTCTTTAGTCTTCTCATTCCCTTTCATTCCCAGTAGCCTCTTGCGTCTTAGTGGGATTGTCGCCTTCCTTGGGGTTAGCTTATTAAAAAAATAGATAAAAGTATAGATTTGTAGAGAGTTGTCTTAAATGAACATATCATTAAAACCAAAAGGTACTTATTGAAATTTATTTTACTACAGAAATACATTGAAAATGACTTTTATATCGTAATATATTTAAAGTGATTTTAGTACAGAAATGCATTAAAAATGAATTTTCACTCCCTAGAAGTCGTTGAAAGCGATTTTACTGCATAAATACAGTGAAAAAAGTGTTATGTTCGGAACTCACTTTACTGTCTTAAATGATCACTGTCTTAAAATGATTACATTCTTAAAATGATCCCTGACTTAAAATGATCAGTCTTAAAATGACCTCTGTTTTAAAATGGCCACTGTCTTAAAATGATCACTGTCTTTAAATGACCTCTGTCTTAAAATGACTTCTGTCTTAAAATGATCTCTGTCATAAAATGATTACTGTTTTAAAATGATCACTGTCTTAAAATGATTATTGTCTTAAAATGATCCCTGTCTTAAAATGATTACTGTCTTAAAATGATTACTGTCTTAAAATAATCACTGTCTTAAAATAACCTCTATTTTAAAATGATCTCCGTCTTAAAATGATCTCTGTCTTAAAATGATCAACGTTTTACATCGAAGTGCTTGTCCTATGTATTAGTGTGAGTCATAATTAATCTCCGTTTTTTTAGGGAACCACTTGAATGTATCAGCGTAACTACTAATCATACAGGACAATTACAAATAAATCTAGAATACAATAACATACCTTCTTTTTTGCATGGCAGTGGCAGCGTACACCATGGATTAAAGGAAAAGAATGTTATTCTTCGCCATGACACTGCAAGACCGCATTCAAACAAAACTATCAAAGAAAAAAAAATTACAAGCCGGTTGGTCTGTTCTTCCCACACCCGCCATATTCACCTGGTTTTGCACCAAGCGATTGTTACCATTTTTGATCGCTGCAAAATGCTTCTAAGGGTGGGTGGGGGGTCACAACTTTCTGTAATGAAAACCCCATTCATGGGTCCGCCGGAAACTTTCTCACATCAAAACCTGCGGCTGACGGCCACCCCATGTTGAAACACCGGTTCCCGTACGATCACCGAAGTTAAGCAACGCCGAGCCTGGTTAGTATCTTAATGGGTGACCACTTGGGAATACCAGGTGCTGTAAGCTTGGATAGTTGGTTGGTTTAAAAGGCTAACGGCTACATCACATTAAATCACCGGTTTCCGTACGATCACCGTAGTTAAGCAACGTCGAGCCTGATCAGATTTGGAAATAATGAGGAAGAAAGAGAGAGAGAGAAAGAGATGGGGAGAAAGAGATAGAACGAGACAGAGAGAGAAAGAATGAGAGAAAGTGAGAGAGAAAGAATGAGAGAAAGTGAGAGAGAAAAGAGAGAGAGAAAGAGGGAGAGAAAAAGAGAGAGTGAAAGAGAAAGAGATAGGAAGAAAATGAGAGCGAGAAATAGAAGGAGAGAAAGAAAGAGAGCAAGAGAGGAAGAGAAAGAGAGAGAATGAGACAGAGAGTGATAAAAAGAGAAATCTTGATAAATATATAAAGATAACTGAAAAACAAGCCTGTATGTGTACACTTTGTGTATATATATATATATATATATATATATATATATATATATATATCCCATTGAGTGCTGGTGCAAATAAAAATAATATATGTAGATAGATAGATATTAAGTTGCATAGTGGCAAATAAATTTTGAAAACGCATATTAATATATATTGTTGGCTATGGATTTTAAGGACTCTTAAATAGAAACTTACAAATAATAATAATCCTGACACACACACATACACACACACACACACACATATATATATATATATATATTGTGTATTTAGGCAGTATTTTTCTGATGATGATAGTCTGTTCCTGTTTGCTTGGAAATCATCCATGCAAACAGAAACAGACTATCATCACATTCGTGTCCGTGTATTACTTAATATATTGTACTGTAATTGTCATCTTTGATAATGGCTTATGTAAGCCGAAAGCTTAGATTGGATTAAAAAATATGGATCAATATTGTGATTTTCTTTCTTCGTTTAATGATAATGTTATTAAACTTATCAGACGTTATGAAAAGAATTTACATAAAATAAATAGACAACACTTGTCTATATTATTTAAATGAAACATTATATATATATATATATATATATATATATATATATATATATATAAAAATAGAAATTAAGATAACTTCAAGGTAATGATCGTTTCACCCACAAATTAAAAGTAATTTGCGGGATTTTCAAAGTCGCCTGGTATCCAAGAAAAAGAAAATGAAACTGGTTTAAAAACGAATTTAAAAAAACAGGCAGAGTCAAAAAAGAAAGAAAAAAAGGAAGAAAAAAAAGAAAGAGTAAAATAATTAGTGAGAGGACAAGATAGCAAGTGTAATAGAAGGAGAAAGAAGAAGGTATAGAGAGGGTAGTAATGTCTAGATATGGGGAATGGTAAGAGGAGATACATAAAGTAGACTGACCTGATTTATATCGAATAGAAGTGGAAAATTAGGAAAAAAATATTTTTTAATAAAAAGAATACTATTAATCCAACATTAAGGGATATTAATAATAGGATTTACTTGGATTATATACCGACGGATTATTGCACACACACACACACACACACACACACACACACACACACACACACACACACACACATAAATATATATATATATATATATATGAATTGGGAGATCAAATAATGTTCTTTATCGTATCAATCTAAAAAGAAATGTTTTTCTGGTTTTAAATACCTGGCAAGTGGGGGGGGGTTGATAAAAGGTAGAAAACGAATTAAATCAGAACGTGCAGAATTTTACTCAAAATATATCGTTGCCTGATAAGTGGTAACAAGTCCTGGCAAATTATAGCAGCATTTAAGCTAGCTCCTGTGGAGTGCTCTTGATTAGGCCTTCTGTTGACCATGTTCACCATAGTCTATGAATATAGAATACAGCGCAGTACGTAATCTGTTCAATGAAACAACGTTAAAGATTAACACTCACGAGTCAGACACTCTACTGAATCTGACTATATCGCCAATACCACCAGCAGCTGTTCCGTAATTCTTCAGTCTTTGATATCAAAGGCTTTCAGTGATATTTAGCCACCCCACTACGAGGGTTACATGTGGCACAAGGCCGGGATTAACGTGGGATCTCCGAGCCCGTAGGCTCGGCCAAAAATATTCCCTATTCGAACGCGTATAAACGTTTTCAGGGGCAGTCAACCTCTCCGAACGAGACTCTGTCCTTCGGCGGATCCTCGTCCGGGTTATCAAAGGCTGGCAGTGAATATTCGGGAAAAACATGGCCGCCTTTATACACGTCGCATTGAATATTTTGAGCCTTCTGATTGGTTAACCCTTCTATTGGTGAACTATAAAATGAGTCAGCTCATTTTGGCTGGCTCACTAGTACACCAGGGTACCCCAAAATTCCAACACCTTCAACACAGTAGGTAGGGAAGAGTAGATGTAATAGGCAACAATAAACTACAGAACTCAAAATTAATCGCTGCATTTAAGTATTGCATTAATATTTAAGCTTACCTTTTAAAAGTTCAACGATAATTCTTCTGCCGCCACTTAATTTAAAGACAATTTGATGTACGTAGGTCCTTACTTTTCCGTACAAACAATTGTTTTTATTTCATGGGCAACAGAACAAGAGAGAATTTTATTTTATGGCTGGCTGACTTTCACTGGATTTCGCAGTTAATTTCGATTATTCTCAAATTTATTTCCAAGTTATAAAAATTGTTATCGTACAAAAAAAAAAAAAAAAAAAAATTCGTCGCAAAAATCACGTAAAAAATCGCCGAAAACAATCGCAGTATTGAAAAGTTGTGAATCAAAAATTTCAGAATTGCGGGTCCGGATCCGGCCTGGAATATTTTTAGTTTGCTCACGGGGTCGGCCTGATTCTAAAATGGTATAATACGTCAGGCTACGGCCTCTTGAATTAAAATTAAAAACACGGACAATTTTATTTTGAAACACTGTAATTTGAGAACAGTCATTTTTTTTTTCATTTGAACATGAGCTATTAAAAGTTAGAGTTGTGTCCCTTTAATTGTTTTTATCAGTAGAAGTCAAAATGGCGGAATCCGAAAACAATCGCAGTAATGAAAATTTGGGAATCCAAAATTTCAGGATTGCGGGTCTAAATCCGACCCGGAATTTTTTTAATTTGCTCACGGTGTCGGTCTGATTCCAAAAATAATATGATATGTTGGGCTACGGCCTCTAGAAGTAAAGTTGAAAAAAGTGTGACACATGGACTCACTGACATTCTCATTTATTATATAGAAGAATAATGTTAATAAACAAAAACGGAAATTATTTATAACTCAATTTAACAATTGGGTGAAGTTTTAATAGGCAACTTGTTTTTTATTCGAGAGGTTTATTTTGAATATCG